CGCGGTACCTGACTCTACCCGAAAAAGCCCGTTGGCAGCGCCTGCGCACTGCGCGCTCTTTGTGCCGGGCTGCAGCAAGCGGCTTGTTTGTGTGTCTCTCTCCCAGAAGCTGTGGAGGCGGGGCCTGAGAGGCGTGGCCTGCCCCTTCGAATTCGGATTGGATTCCCGCAGGGAGGTAGGCGGGCACAGGGTGGAGCTTCCGATAACAACACTCGGAAGCCGGGCTGGGGCTATTTGTTGCTGCGCCGTCTCCGCCCGAGTCATAGTCCGCGCTCTTCTGTGGCTCTCTTAGCAGCAGCAGCCGCCGCCGCCGCCCTATGATCACTGCCTTCACTTCCTCTTTCTCTTCCTGCCGAGCTGCCTGCCTCCTAGCGCTATGACTGTCGTCTCTGTCCCGCAGCGGGAGCCGCTCGTCCTGGGCGGCCGTCTTGCCCCGCTTGGCTTTTCCACCCGCGGTTACTTCGGGGCCCTCCCGATGGTGACCGCGGCACCGCCGCCTTTACCTCGGATCCCAGACCCCCGGGCACTGCCTCCAACCCTCTTCCTCCCTCACTTCCTGGGGGGAGACGGCCCCTGTCTGACTCCCCAGCCTCGCGCTCCAGCAGTTCTGCCCAATGGTAGCCTGGCCGCTGCGGGAGGCACCCCGCGGGCAGCGCCGAAGAAGCGGCGAAAAAAAAAGGTGCGGGCCAGCCCGGCGGGGCAGCTACCCAGTCGCTTCCATCAGTACCAGCAGCACCGGCCGAACCTGGAGGGCGGCCAGAGCCCGGCGACTGGCCGGAGCGGAGCGCAGGAGGTCCCGGGCCAGGCCACCGTCTCGGTCCCGAATCCTGCAGCCGCAACCAGAACTGAGGAAGCGAGCCCCGTCCCTGGGCCGCTGCGGCCCGCGGTACCCGGCCAACCCCCGCTGAGAAAAGAGGTGAGGGCTGCGAAGCGGGTCTGGGGGGCCGTTGGGAGTTTCGGCCCAAGACGGCCACTGGCGGGCTCTCGGGCTGGGGGCTCGGCTGTGAGGGGGTCTGGAGGGTGGGGGCTGGGCGAGGGGCGGCTGTTTACTCGGGAGGGAAGTTTCCGTGACGCCCGCTTGGTTTTGCTGGGGGAAGTGGGGGAAGGGGAGGCATGCGCTGGCGCTGCCGATTGGCTCCCGGGAGTCAGCCAATGAGAGGAGCAGCTGCGCCCCAGCAACAGCCCCGATTTAGAAGGCTGGCGGCGTTCCAGGGGGTTTCGGCGTTCCGGGCTCGCGCGGTGGTGGGGGAGGGCAGGGGCCCGCGGGAGGGCTGACGTCAGCGCGCGCTACGTGCCGAGCGCTCCGGCGCTCATGAAGGTGGCGGGGCTGAGGGGGGGTGGCCGGGGAAGGGGTGGGGCCGGCTTTGGGCTTCTACGGGCTCTAACGCCCTGCGTGGGCGCTGGACCCGGGCTGCAAGCGGCTCGATTTCGTTTGGCTGGCCCTTTGCCGAAGTGTGGGACTCCCAGTCCAATTGAGGCTTTGCTTACCGCGAGTCTGACTTACTACTTTGTGGGACTTTTAAAGTTTCAAAGTTCGCAAGAATGGCATTAGTTCTTATCTTCTTGAAAGAGGTCAATTTTGTGGGCCACTCTTAATGTTGAACTGAGTTTATTGTTCAGCAATTCCCATCGTGTGACATTGAGTAATGGCGGGTAGTTTTACTTGTTCAGAAGTTTTCACTAATATAGTTGAATGACGTTATGTTGACCAAGTGCCGTGCAGTTTGATTTGGATAAAATGTATGAAAATTCATACGGAATTAAATGTCTAAAGTGACTTTTAATCTTAGCAAATTATTATTTCAATGAATCATAGTTACGTGGAAACCTGCTCTTGCCCTTGGTTGGACTGAGATTTGGAGTTCATCTAGCTTATCTAGCTTATGCCCTTGGAAAAAGTTACTAACTTTATCTTCTCAGGTTTCAAGTTGTAAAATACCACGACTGAAAATATTAGCGATAATATAAAAGCCTTTTGTATTTCGTTTGCTGACCAGTAAGATTTCTTTCTTCTGAACGGATATTCAAACGCCCGGGTTTGCTGGGAGTTACTGACATGGAATGTGTTACATTGTACTCTCCTGCTTTGTTTTTGAGTGCTACTTACAGGTGTTGAAAGGACTGTAATCTAATTATACTTTTCCTTGACAATTTTTTACTTTAACCTTTTCCATCACAACTTCCTGGAAGGTCCACTTAAGTTAGGAAATTGATTTGATTGAATGAAACAAGTTCTTGAAATGGTTGTTAAATTAGAAGGAAAGAGGGGGCAGAAAGGAAACATTTTTTTTCCCTCTGACAAACACTTGGAAGAGAGCTATTACAGTTATAGCTAGATGGACCAGAGGTTAGTTTGGATTTTTTTAGACATTTTAGAACTTGCTGATGTTGCATACTGGTTACAGCGGTGATTAATTGCATAATTTTTATTGGCAGACAATAAGGTGTATTTGGACATCCAACTGATAAGTGTAGCCAGTTTAAAAGTATATAATCAAAATAGTGGGCTGAAGACTAGGGGGGAAACATTTTAGAAGAAAATATGTAAAATATGATGTGAATTTTATAAATGATTTTTATTTGAAACTCTATTCACTTTTGTGTTCCTTATCTTTGTAGGTTTTAAAATCAAAGATGGGAAAATCGGAGAAAATTGCCTTTCCCCACGGCCAGCTTGTTCATGGTATACACTTGTGTGAACAACCAAAGATAAACAGACAGAAAAGCAAATATCACTTGCCACTAACCAAGATCACCTCTGCAAAAAGGAATGAAAATAACTTTTGGCAGGATTCTGTTTCGCCTGATAGAATTCAGAAGCAGGAAAAAAAGCCTTTTAAAAATACTGAGAACATTAAAAATATGCATTTGAAGAAATCACCATTTCTAACTGAAGTGAGCCAAAAGGAAAATTATGCTGGGGCAAAGTTTAGTGATCCACCTTCTCCTAGTGTTCTTCCAAAGCCTCCTAGTCACTGGATGGGAAGCACTGTTGAAAATTCCAACCAAAACAGGGAGCTTATGGCAGTACACTTAAAAACGCTCCTCAAAGTTCAAACTTAGATTTCTGATTTCACTATGTGTGTAAAACAGTTTTCCCCAAATCTTTGGACTCTTAAAAAAATTGGTACAGAAATGGAAATTTGCCTTGTTGCAACCTATAGGTTCAAAAGATGAGCTTAAAAAGTTACAAACAGCTTGTATTATATTTTATATTTTGTAAATACTGTATACCATGTATTATGTGTATATTGTTCATACTTGAGAGGTACATTATAGTTTTGTTATGAAAGTTATGTATTTTGACCTGCCAATGTGGTAGGTGTTTTGTATATATACAGTGGAGAAATTTTAAGTGTGTGCTCTAAGGCACATGGAAGACTGATTTATTTGCACAAGGTACTGAGATTTTTTTTTTTTTCCAAGAAACAGCTCTCAAATCTCAAAAGTGAAGATCCAAATGTGAAGTTTACTAATGCACTACTGAAGTTTAAATCTGTGGCACAATCATTGTAAACATGGGTTTTGTCTGTTTTCCCAAAATTGATTTCTGCCTTCTGATCTGTAATTACTGGAAAACTATTCCCATTTTTGCCAAACTTAATTTCTGAGTTTTGGTACATAAGCCATTATTCAAATTTAAAATGACTCTAATTTTAATGCCAACAAAATTGGTTGTAATCAAATTTCAAAGTAATAATAATAATTTGGCCCCCCCCTTTTAAACTAGTCTTGGTTCTTTATGTGTGACTGTTAATGTTTGTGTGAGATTATTTTGTGATTGGATTTTAACTTTCCTCTTTGACTTTATGCTCATTATCCTACAAAATTTTAGAATTTAATAGTAATTTAAGACTTCTACCTCTGAGGAAGATTTACCCATCTACACATCTCACTAGAGGAAATGAGTATGTTAGTAAGTATATAACTTAGAATATAGTTTTATGTGTGCGTTTTTTTTTTGTATTGGAGAGTTTACCTGGGGATACTTTACCACTTTACCCCATCCCTTCTCCCCTTTTTAAAAAAGTTTTGAGATAGCAGGGTCCTAAGCAACAAAGTGAGACTGAGTTGTTGAGGATAGTTTCAAATTTGCAATTCTCCCTCATACTCCTGAGTCTGAAATTATAGGTATGTGAGAGGTTTTATAAAGTACCATTCGACTTAATTGCAATGTTTTTCAGTGAAAATAACATAATTGGCTTACTAGATTTTGGATTGGTTTTTTTGAACCAAAATAAGTATTGATGTTAAGATTATTAGATGGAGAAAAATCTAAATCCTAAAGCTTGCTTGAGGATAAATACGGCTGTGCTTGTACTTTGTCAAAAGTAGAGACTTGGAACCTTGTTTCCTTCCAATAATGTGTGTGAGTGCATGTGTGTATATTTCCAACTGAGAAATTCGAAAAATGCGACTCTCCCTTATGGGTTTTAGTTAATCTCAACAAAAAGGAAGTTTTTCTAAGTGGGTAGTAATTAAACATGAAAAGGAAAAAAAGGAGCTAAAAGGGTACATGAAAGCCTCAGCAATAGTAAGGCACTAAGCAACTCACTGAGGCCCTGTCTCTAAATAAAATACAAAAAAGAAATAGGGCTGCGGATGTAGCTCAGTGGTTAAGTTACCCCTGAGTTCAATCCCAGGTAACAGGAAAAAAAAGTACATGGTTCCTGAAAAATGGTATAGATGAGGAAAGTGTTTCTTGGGAGTGTCTTATATGTATATATCCTTTGGTTCATACAAGAAGGGAGGGAAGAGATTTCTGGCTGCATAAAGGGTGGAGGTAGTAGTATAGCCATAACTTTAGAATAATTTCCTAAGCAGTGCTGGGAGGGTATGATAACTCTTAGGCTGTCACCACAAAATCTGAGAAATAGCCATAGATCTGTATCAGAACCTAGCACATGTGTCATTTGCCACTGGCTGTAACATTTTATATGCAAAGAGATTAGCTATACACAAAATTACATATACCTGGCTTTTAAAAATGCATTTAGAGAAACAGGTGATTAAAGTAATGAAAATAGTGAACCTGGTAATAAGACTTCCTGAAAGCAATAAGTTAACACTTGATTAAAATTTTGAAAAGAATGGCTTAAGGTTGCTGACTAAGATACTTTAAGATAAAGCATTAAAGTAGGTCTTAAACTTTGAGCAAAATCAGTTGAGTTGCATTGTAGATATATTCAGTGACAATGTATTGGTGAATTTAAAAGTTAAATAGTTTTTGGTGTAAAATGCTCTATAGTGGCCCATTATTTTCAGGCACTTGGATTTTTCTCTTGATAGAATGAATGCCTTAACATTTCTTCCCATGTTTTTGCAATTTTGTTTGGTTTTGTGGGTATGTAAAGTGAAGGATGTGTCGCCAGCTTCAGAACTAAATTTATATTAGTGTCTCCCGTAAAGGGGTTCAATTGCAATGAAGTGAAAAGTTTATATGAGAATAAAAATTGTTAAATTCAGGGGCACGTAGGTATAGAAAAAATAGCAGTATGGTTAGTAATTTAATGAAGTTTCTAGATAATTTTATACTGAATTTATTCAAATCATTGATTTAGTGGTATTATGGAAAGAGCTTTTTATTTGCATTAATTTTGGTACCAAGCATTGTTAAGTATCTCCTTGTAGGTAGATAAAGGAAAAGGTAGTAAAAGATCAAAGTATATTCTTTTTTTTAAATAAATATTTTTTTTAAAGAGAGAGAATTTTTTTTAATATTTATTTTTTAGTTATTGGCGGACACAACATCTTTGTTTGTATGTGGTGCTGAGAATCAAACCTGGGCCGCACGCATGCCAGGCAAGCGCGCTACCGCTTGAGCCACATCCCCAGCCCTCAAAGTATATTCTTAAAAGAAGTAGTTCTTTACAAGGTACTTCTTATTGCAAATTTTAGGTTGTTTTATATAGTTTATAAATGAAAACAGCATTCAGGTTTTGGGCATGGTAATTTGTAACCCTTTGCTTCCCTTTATTTGAATGTAAAGCTAGCATGTTGTATAATTACGGAATTTGAGTTGAATCCCAGCATTCCATGCTTGAGGAAAATAATTTGAATTTTGTCTAGTACTTGACTTCAAACTTTTCTTGCTCTTATCTTTACCTCTTTGTTGAAAAGACTGAGCTCAACTTGTAATGTTGAGAGGGAAGAAAACAAAGACACCCATCCAGTGTTTCTGCCTCTTAGCACCAGGGCCCAGAATGGACCTGGGAAAGAGGGCACAGTTGGTATAAACTTGGTGAGAGGGTAGAATGAGTACTGTGCATTGCTCTGGCTACAGTGGATTGGCTAGGTTCTTTTATGTCCAGTCACCTCCAGCAAGTTCTCATGTAAAAACATAAAAGTGTTTTTAGATGTCTGAAAGAAGACCTTGGGCCATTATAACTCAAAGCCACCCACCCCTGCCTTATTCCTAATTATTCCAGAAGTAGTGCTGGAGAGAAGCCTAATTAAGTGGTTTGAGTTTACCAAGAGGGGGAGCTGGTTTTGTAACTAAGAGCTAAAAGGTGACAAGGGAAGACAAATTTTGTAGACTTTTTAAGCATTAGGGCCCAGGAGAGAAAGGGAAAGGAAATTGAGACTGAAATTGTGCTCACAGATAAAAGTTGTCCTTAAATAGGTGGAAAAGTTTTTTTTTTTCTTTTGTGGTGGTGGGGTTCAAACGCAGGGCCTTGACCCTGCTAGGCATGTGATCTAACACTGGCTTTGTCCGCAGCCCTGGAAACTTAGAATTTCAGATCATAGTTAAGAAAATTCTTTAAACTTTTAGTCACCAATTTTACCTTTTTCTAATGACATTATAAGAACTAATGGGTTGGTTTGGGTGAATTGACATTTCCCAAATATCTGAAAATGACACATTCACAGGTTTAATAGGTTTTGTACTTGATTATAGAGTTCTTGCAGTTTGGATGATAAACTGCCTTAAACCATCCCTTTCCCTTGTTTGCCATTTGTCCAGCAGAATGTCTGCAATTCAGTGTGAGGATTTATTGTAAAGTATGTTCAGGAGATGAAAGGATAAATAAAAGTGAAAGTTCACTGCAGGTAGTGTAGGGAGAAAAAAGTGACTAAAATACTGCATTTTTCTCTCCTACAACTACAAATACCTAAAGAGGTAAAAAAAAAAATTGTTTCTCCTAGGAAGTAGTGATTAATTCTGGTAACTAGGAATTTTCTCTTTGGGAATCTGACCCCTTAAAAATAGTATTGAGTTGGGCCTTAAAATAGTCAATAGTGAAATAAAAACCTAACAAGATTAGCATAAAAGAAAAGAATTCATTACTACTATGCCAGCATTGCAGAAGACACTTAAAAGAATTTTACACATAGAAGATTTAAAACAAACAAGATATCTTGCATAAGAATAAATTAATTAGAAGTGTGGATGAGTATGTAACAATTAGGATAGAACAAACATTAAATGTAAATCAAAATGACAAAAAATAGCACATTTTCTATAATAACACTGAATATTAAAAGAAAAAAGTCAATAGTATTTGACACAGAAGAGGAAAATATAGAGGTAAAAGTGAGTAGATAATGTAAAAAAGATGTAGAATGTCCAGCAGCTCAAGCAGAGAAAAATTAAGTGTCTTTCAAAGGTATATTGGGTTAAGAACACAGGCCCTTGAACGACATGTTTTTTTTTTTTTGTTTTTATAAAGAGGGAGGGAGAGAGAGAAAGAAAGAAAGAGAATTTTAATACTTATTTTTTAGTTTTTGGCGGACACAACATCTTTGTTTGTATGTGGTGAACCCGGGCCACACACATGCCAGGCGAGCGTGCTACCGCTTGAGCCACATCCCAGCCCTTGAACAACATGTTGAAGAGCTTCAGCTTTATTATGTAAGCATGGCAGAATCATCAGATTTGAAGAAAGGAATGAGATTCTTCAAAAACAAAATTGTTATGAAAAGGTGGGAAAGGGAACAAAACAGGAAGACCACTTGAACATAAATATTTTAATAGCTCAAAAGAGAAAAGGGCATTTAGAACATTGTCAGAGGGAATGTAAAGACAGCTTGTTTTGGAGCATTGGAATGAAGGGTGAGGAAAGAAGCCTTTTTAGGTCTAGTGACTAGACAAATTACAAAGTAGGGACCTGGGCCGGTGGATTGGAATTATACAGGAAGATAATTTTGATTTGGTTTGTTGAACTTTTTGGATGTCCTGTAGGTGATGCATGTGGAAAGGCATAGCAAATAGAAGATAGGTCAGACCTAGAGATACAGCTTAGGTAAATAGTGCACAGAAACAATAATCATAACATTAAAATGGAACTGAAATATGCCTTCCCATATCCTATTTTCTCTCATAAGGCTTAATGTGTTTCCTGGTACTCTTCATCCTCTTCACTTCCTGTGGCAACTTCAACTATGGTAGTCAATTAGTTGTTGAATTGGAATGTATTATGAAACAGTTTTACACAGGGATTGGTTCTTTACCTACCTGTAAAAGTGACTATTAATAGACCTAATTTAAGTTTTAAATTTGATAGCAACTACCTGTTGGTAAAAAGGAGCAACAATGTCACCTTCCTTTTCTGTAGTCAAAGATAACATTTTATTTATTTATTTATTTATTTATTTATTTATTTATTTATTTATTTATAAAGAGAGAGGGAGAGAGAGAGAGGAGAGAGAGAGAAAGAGAATTTTTTAATATTTATTTTAAACAACATCTTTGTTTGTACGTGGTGCTGAGGATCCAACCCAGGCCG